AGGGCTTACATATCTAGAAATTTATCAGCACCTGCATTTAGTACATCACTTAACTTTGTGGAAACAGAAAGAAGTTTCAGAAAAACTAAATACAAAATGGCAAACGGTGGTAATCAAAATCTAAAGGTAAGCTCGGTTTAAAAACTAAAATTATTTCACATATAAATAACTTCACATTTTTACAGTGATGTTTCAGTGCTAGTAGAAACCAAATATTTTGGTGATCTGAGCTCTTTTTTTGTTTGTTGATGTCAAGAAAATGGCTTTTTAAAAATGAGTTATGTAGCATCTCAGCTACAAAAGATAATACCTAAAAGTCACACGATTTATTTTGGAATCACGGTTCCGTGTACACTGATCTCTGTATGTGTAAGATAATACCTGAAAGTCACACGATTTATTTTGGAATCACGGCTCTGTGTACACTGATCTCTGTATGTGTAAGATAATACCTGAAAGTCCCATGATTTATTTTGGAATCATGGCTCCGTGTACACTGATCTCTGTGTGTGTAAGATAATACCTAAAAGTCACACGATTTATTTTGGAATCACAGCTCTGTGTACACTGATCTCTGTGTGTGTAAGATAATACCTAAAAGTCACACGATTTATTTTGGAATCACAGCTCTGTGTACACTGATCTCTGTGTGTGTAAGATAATACCTAAAAGTCACACGATTTATTTTGGAATCACGGCTCTGTGTACACTGATCTGTGTGTGTGTCCTCCGTTCTCCATCCAGTCTTTTAGGATTGAGGGACGATGGAGCCTGGTCGTTAGGTCTCCACAGCCCTCTCTCCGTTGTTTTGGATTTTTCTTTTTTCCCCCTTTTCTCCTGCAGCCCGTTTGGTTACTTGGTATTGTACCAACCCGCTGCGCAGCTGCTGTGCTGACGTACCTAGGAGGTACCTCTTCCCTGCTTCTGCTCAAAGAGTATTTTTTTTTTGTCACTCTTGACAGCCATAATTCCACCCCTTAATTCAGTGCTGTGCTCAGCAAATGTCTTCGTGTGATGTTTTCTTCAGAGCACCAGTAGGCCGCTAGCCTGGCTCTGTGATCAGGCATCTCAAATGTGTCTGAGCTCTTCTCAGACCTGTGGCATACAAAGGCTAGCAGCTGCCACCGAGCTCATGTTTATATTTCTCTTCAAGATATGAGGAAAGGAAGAAGGAAGATATCTTAAGTTTGCTTCTGTGATGCTGTCATAACTCTGATTAAAACAAGCTCAGGGAGGAAAGGGTGTTTATCTTACACTTCAAGACACAGTCCATCACTGAGGGAAGTCGGGGCAGAAACCTGGAGGTGGGAACTGAAGTACAGAGGAACGCTGTTTCCTGGCTTGCTCCCCCGGCTTGCTAAGCCTGCTGCTCACATAGCCCAGGCCCACCTGCCCAGTGATGGCACTGCCCACTCTGGCCTGGGTCCTCCTCCATCAGCCAGCATTCAAGAAAATCCTCACAGGTAGGGCCACAGGTCATTCTAGTGGAGGAAGTTCCTCAGTTGAGATTCTCTCTACCCAGATGTGGCTAGGTTTATGTCATGTTGACAAAAATTACCTATGACATTCTATCCCTTGTCAACTTTGACACACACATCACTTTAAAACATAACCTTTCCTTTCTTTTCTGACCCCAAGAGCTCATGTTAATATCACAATATAAGTTTAAAAGTCTCAGCTGGGCATGGTGGTACACACCTTTAATCCCATCACTTGGGAGGCAAGGGCAGGCAGATCTCTGTGAGATTGAGGCCAGCCTAGTCTATGTAGCAAGTTCCAGGCCAGCTAGGGCTGCAGGGAGAGAACCAGGGCACAGTGGCCATCAGCAGTGTCCAACCTCTGGGGGCTCATCTTCTGGGCTCCAAAGGGCTTAGCCGGCCCACCCCTTTGCTTGGCTGTCCAAAATACCCACAGCTTGTGTCATGGGCTAAGGCCTTCTGCACATCACACCTGCCACTGCCCTTGTTGGTTGTCCCATGATCCTGGAGCCTCTAATATGTAAGGGTCTCCACTACAGAGGAGACGGCACCTTCACCAGTGGCTCCTCTGGTCTCCAGGTACTTCAACCCTGACACATGCTGCCAAGCTTCAGCTTCTCTCCTTGACCCTGTCAATCCTGGGGTCTCCACTGCAGCCGAGGCTGCGCCTTCACCACTGGTCCCTCCCGGCCTCTCTTCTGACCCTGTCCATGGTGCCACGCCTCAGCTGCTCTCCACACCATTCCATGCCTTCAAAACCAGTACAGTGTGGGAGACTTGATGCACTGCCAGGCTTGGCTATCAGCTCAAGATAGGGCCTCAACCCCTTCCGGGCCGCAGCTGACCTGGGAGGGGTCGATAATGTCTGAGAGAATTTTTCCAAAGTCCTGTATAGTCATTTTGTGTCTAATATTGAAACTGGAGATTTTCATTTCGTTAGAGAGAGGAGTGTAGGAAAACTGTGATGATAGTAATTGATTATCAGTGTGGCTGAACAGCTCCCACTTCAGGCATCATGCTGAGTAGCAGAGACAGAACTGACATTCAGAACTTGTGGTTTCCCTTGATCTCTTGTCATTAGTTACAACTGGCCATAGGTGCTTGAGCAAGCCTGTCATAGTCTCCCGTATGTACTTGACTCTTTGTGGCAGCATTCTTTTTGAAAATCTCACTAGTTTTATTTTCATGGCAGGGGGTAGATGAGGCTATGAAGGGAGATGATTGTGACTGTCACCCTGAATATTCACCACCACCAAGTGAGTAATTTTGTATATAAATTTGTTGCTGAGCTAATGTAATGTTACCCAGACTTGCCGAGCGTCACTTGTAACTCTTGTCGTCTTACTTACCTGCTCCCTTTCGCTCTTGCTCCTCTGTTGTATTTTCTCTTGCTCTTTTGCTTCATAATGCTTGTAGTCAGCTTCCCGTCAGCACGAAGCACTTCACAGGTAGGTCCTGAGGCAAAGGAGGTCCGTTTGGCTCAGTATTCTGAAAGTTCAAAAGGCATGCTGCCTGTGTCGGCTCAGTCCTCGAGAGGCATGAGGGTGGCCGTGTCAGCAAATGCGTATCAGAGCAAGCTACTCACATCTCCAACTAGAAAGTCATGAGAGAAAAGGCCAGACCAAGTCCCGTAGCTCCCTTCAGTTTACTCAGTGTGACATAGCCTCCTGTTAGGTCCACTTAAGGATGTCACAGCATTGCCCAGTTCTGCTCTCCTGAGGACTAAGCCTTTATACATGGACTTTAGTGATTAAACAACAGTAGTTCTGTGTTAAGATACTATTGAGAGGTAGGGGCATGGCCGAGTTGGTGTCCTAGGTTCTCTATAGGAATAAAATTGATAGAATATATATTAAAGGGACTTTATTAGATTGGCTTCTATGATACAGTATGGGTAGTCCCACGATGGCTGTCTCCACACTGGGACAGGCTGAGAACCTGGTAGCTGTCCTGTCCATTCGGCTGGGTGCCTCAGCAGTTCCAGTCTGGCCTGAAGGCCTTGAGGGTTCCTGGAGAGCCACTGGTCTTTAGTCCACGTTGAGAGAAGGAAAGAAGCCGGTTCTGGTGTTGATGGAGGATGGCAGTAGCAGCAGCCAAGGGGCTGAGGTGAGCAGACAGAACGTGAAGGTTCTCCCTGGGTTCCTTATGTTGCTGCCGCCAGAAGGCTCTGCCCACCTTCAGGGTGGCTCTTCTCACTTCAGATGACAGGATCAAGGAGATCCCATACAGATGTACCTAGCAGTTTGTCACTTAGCCGATTCCAGATCCAGTCAAGTTACCATAGTTGGTAACATGTTTTCTGTATAAGCAAAAAAATCTGAATTTGATCCCCAACACCCATGTAAAAGCCAGGTACAGTGACTATAATCCTAGCACTGGGTAGGCAGAGGCAGGAAGATGCCTGACACATGATGGCCAGCTGATCTAGCTGAATCTACAAGGACCAGGTTCAGTGGCAGACCCTGTTTCAAAAGGATAAGATGGAAAGTGATTAAGGAAGACACCCAAGGTTGACTTCTGGCCTCTACACACTAGAACACGTACACACTAACAGGAGACAGAACACTGATACTTACTCCAAATCAATTCTTCCTTCACATTATTTAATAAATTTAATTTTGGAAATCCAATGACATAATGGATGAGATGCATTGCTCTTGTCTTACCCTTGGTTTTCTTCAGGCCTTTGTTGTGCATTGAGCGTTTTCATTATTACCTCCTCTAACAACAAGAGTTCTTTGTTCTTAATTAACCATTTTTTCTTTAATTGGCCTCCTCTTGAAATTTTTATGACATTGCTTTTGACTTTTGAGGCAAGGTCTTACTCAGTAACCAAGGTGAGAACATGCAAAGTTATAAGCACAAACCACCACATTTGACTTGCACGTGTCCTTTATATATAAAATGATTTTTTTTTGTTGTTGTATCCTGTTTTTGCCCTGTTTAAGGATGACACCACGCCTGTTGAGAAAAGATGCTTGTCTTAGTCCATTCAGACTACTCTAACAGAAGAACCACCAACTAGGTAGTTTGTAGATCACAAACATACTTCTTGCATTCCGTAGGCTAGGAAGTCTGGTATCCTGGCCCTAGCACATTCAGTACCCAATGAAGGCTCCTTCCATGGTTTGTAAATGGCTGGGTTTTCTTATTTTTATTTTTTAGAGTTTTTAAAGTTTGATTTTTTTTTTTTTTTTCTTTCGAGAATGGGTCTCCCTGTTGCCTCAACTGAGCTGGAACTTGCTAGGTAGACCAGGCTGACCTTGATCTCACAGAGATCTATCTGCCTGCCTCCACCTCCTGAGTTCTGGAATTAGAGGCTTGTGCTACCACTCCGTTTCTGGGTGTTTCTTTGTTAAAAGGCCTGTCTCATTCAGCAGGGCGGTGCCTCTGTGGCCTGTTCACCCCCTTGAATATTGCTCGTTCTAGCAAGCTTTCAGTTGACACTCTTGGGCAACACAATGCCAGTACTTTTACTTTTGGCTAATTTTCATTAAGTTGTGTGTTCATTGCATGTGATAATTTGTGCATGCAGTAAGCATGTAAACAGCAGGACATTATTTTGTGGCATGAATTCCAGGAAGCAGCATTGTGGAGACATGACTATTCATGCTTCAGTTATGCCCTCTCTCCCCTTGTACCATATTTTGATAAAAATCCTACAGTAGGTTTGCATATTTCTCTGCTTCCTCAAACTGAGTCTAAGGAAGTAGGTTGTATTGATGGCTCAAGATTGTCTCACAGCAGTTGTCTACCTGCAACTTTCTGTGGTGTTCCTGTCGGGGCTGTCACGAGGTTGTTGCCTGTGCTGTTTGACTGTGGCACCTGCAGGTCTCTTTTCCTTTATTAGTTGGGGTTTTTGTTTGTTTCCTGTACAATGTTTTGCTTCTAGCATCTGCTCTGTCTTTGCTGCCTGTAGGTCCATCTTCTCTCAGGCTGTTTCCACATATCTGGCTACTTAGTGCTGGGCATTTCCATGTGGTTAGCATATTATTAAATATTAGAATTGGAAACTCACACAGTTATCCTAATGTAATTTTAACAGTATGTGAAATGTCTTTGAGAATAACACTTCTTGAAAGATGACATTTAAAGCACTGAGAGAGGAATCAGCATTTTGGTAATATTTCTGCTCAAGAACTAGTGTGATTCTCCATTTACTCAGTATTTTAAATGACCTTCAGTAAATACATTATTTTAAATATGAGTAAGACTGCTTTATTTTTAAAACATGATAATAGTATGTGTACCATAGTAACATTAATACCTACTTCCCAGCTGTCACCGTTTGACTCAAGTAAAGGACTTGAGGTCCCAGAATTATAAATTAAACCCCTTTGCTCATGCCCAAACAGCAAAATTCAAGTCAGAGCTCCACTGCCTTTCCAGAAGCTTCTCAGTTTTAAGGACATCGAAGCCAGCATTGATTGTTTTCCCCTTGTCCGACTTGGCTCTGTGCTGTCTCCCCAAACCTTCTGTCGCACATACCGTCCTTGCCTTACTAACTCTTCTAATACAGCTCTAACTTGTTTCTCCTCCGACCCCTAAAGAGGCAGCGATTTCTTCTGCCAGTGGAGTAAAGTCTGGGCTTTAGAGCTCGGAATCTGGAGTAATGGTCTGTAACACCCCACACCCCACCCCAACCTGCCTTTAGATCCCATTTCTGCTCGTCTACCATTGTGGAACTCTTTGGATAACACAGATAGACTTAGTATTGCTAAAATGAATGCCATTCTTGGGTTCAGACTCTTGCATCCAAATCCTGTGTGTTACTCAGCACCAAACTGTTGGCCTGGCATCGTTATCAGTCTAAGGTGAGGTTGGGTTTGTTTACTCAGCGGGTTAAAGAATCAGAAGGCAGGAAAAATTTCAGACCAGCAGAGAGAACAGGCAAACTATCATTGAAGGATAAAGAATCACATGCATACACCTAAAGAATCACACGTGTACACACACAGAAACATGAAACACTTCACAAGTGCAAAGAGGAAACCCGGAAACCAAACTCGAGTGTCCCCCAGGGACGATCTGGGTTTCTAAGGGGTTTAGTCCCTTACAAAACACAAACACTGCATGCTTGGTAATGCTTTTCCCAACTATTCTGGATAACATGATTTCTCCCTTCTGTGAGTTGTGAGATAAGTTAATTACCGACCGTGGAATTAATATGTCAGTAATAATGTGGTGTCTTCTGTATGGTGATTCGTGTTTCCTCTGGTCATAAACTGCCTGAGAGGTTGGGTATGGTAGTGCACATTTTTAATCCCAGCACTTGGGAGGCAGAGGCAGGCAGATCTCTGTGAGTTCAAGGCCAGCCTGGTCTACATAGTGAGTTCCAGGACAGCTGGGACTACAGGGAGACCCTGTCTCAAAAACACAAATAAATAAATAAATAAATAAATAAATAAATAAATAAACACACACATACATACATACATACATACATACGTACATACTGCTTGAGAAAAGGAACTATTGCCTCTATATAACTCTATAATCGGTGGCTTCTGGCTCTCATTGCTGCATTTGCGTTCACTGTTGCTCCGTTGGTTTTCGTGTCCCAGCGTGTGTAGGTCTTGTTGCATTGTCGCACACCTGGCTTCCAGTTTGCATAGACTTCATTTTTTATTCTCAATCTTGCAGATTTTTATGTGCTTCTTTCAGGAGGAAATACTTTTATATTCACAGGTCAGCCTCCAAAACATAAAGGAAAACAAAAATCCCGAAACAGTGACTCAGAAAAGCTGAGGTATGTTGTTGTCCTCTCTTACTTTTACAGGAATTTTAATGAAGATTGGGTTTATAGTTTAATCTGAGAGGACTCGACATTTTGGTAATATGTCTGTTCAAGAGCTGGTGTGATTCTCTGTTCACTCAGTGTTTTAAACGACCTTCAGTAAATACAGTGTTTTTAAGTAGGAGTAAGGCTGCTTCATTTTTAAGATGTTTCGTAGCACACACTTTTTTCTTCTTTAGTTCTAGCTCACAATTGACTTTACCAGTGGATCTGAAAAACATTTTGGAGAAACAGTTTTCAAAATCATCCAGAGCTGCACACCAGGTAATTGTGAAGATTTTTCCTATAGAAAAACCAAATTCTTTAAACAAAACATTTTCACAAGAATAAAATTATAGTACTGATTTAATAATTGCCAAGAAACCAGACTAACACTAATTTAAGTATTGACTTGATAATTGTTAGCCAAAGTTTTAACTAAATTGTTAATACTGTAGAATTCTTTCCCAAAGATTTAATAGTAATACGAACTTATTTCTTAAATATTTAAATAATTTAAAACTATTTTATTACTGGCTGTTTTGTCTACTGTAAAATCGTAAAAGCACCAACTTTTCCTTTGAATGATTTAACAGTATTCAGATAAACTTCATATGTAAACAAAATAAACTTTGTATACAGATTCTTTGACGTTTAATTCTTTAGTGATGAAAAGGGCGTCTTAGGGCTGGAGAGATGGCTAGTGGTTAAGAGCACTGGCTGCCTGTGGAGAGGACCCAGATTTGAATTCCAGCACTCACACGGAGGCTAACAAACATCCATAACTCCAGTTCCAGGGAATCCAGTGCTTTCTTCTGACCTCTGTGGGCATTGCACGACATGGGTGCACTTACATATATGCAGGCAATACACTCATACACAAAAAATAAAAATAAAATATTTTTAAAAAAGAAAAAGGCGTCTTAACATAAGATACTTACTTCAAAGTATATGGGTCATTTAAAAATGCAGTTATTTTATATTTATGTAAAAAATCATACAAGAGGTTGAAACATTTCCAATCATTTGCATAAAAGCAATTTTAGAACTAACGAGATTTTTTTTATTATGTGTTTCTGGTTTTACTGATTCCATGAGGACTTAAGCTTATGAAGATAGAATATCTCAGCGTGCATGAAAGTTACGTGGACTCACTTTTCATTCAGCCCATGGTATTTAGAGCTCTCCTCTGGTGAGAACAGAGCTTGGATCTGTAGTGAGAAGGTTCATTCTGCCTCTCTGGAGTGTCCAGTCCAGAGAATCCCAAGTTCTGTCGTATTGAGAAAAAGAGTTTCCAAAGAAAATGTCTGACATAGGGCTCTGTTTTCCCACATTAAGAAGCAGTTAAAATTGAATTGATTCATATAAAGCTGATAACTGATATTTGTGAGACAACATATTTTATACCCTTAAGCTCATATCTTAAATATGACTTTTGATTGTTTTAAATATTACAACAAACACCAGTTTTAGGCTATTCTTTTCCATGTGTATTTGAGGAAAAAAATCTCTTACACTTTGGCTCATTGGGCAGAAATCATCAGAAAACACTAGGGCTCTTCTTCCTGTTGGAATGACTTCTTTGAACCTTACTGTTAGGAACTTTGGATGCTAAAACATTCAGATTCTGTATTTTCTCCCCGACTGACTGGTATGAATACGTGGTTTAATGTCCCGTCTTATTCCTCCCGTCTGTATGGTACTTTGTCACCTACATTCATTGCTATACAACTAAAATACAGTATCAAAATATAATTTATGTGTATGTATCTTAAAATTGCAAAGTTTATTTTAAAGGTATCGTACATTAAGTTTTGGGTTTTTTGGGGGGGCTGTTTTGTTTTTTAGACAGGGTCTCCCTGTAGCCCACCTGACCTGGAATTCCCTATATAGACCAGGCTGGCCCCAATCTCACAGTAACCCATCTGCCTCTGCCTCCCAAATCCTGGGACTAAAGGCGTGTAACCACCACATCCATCCCAATTTTAGTTTTTTCTTTGTATCTTTCCTTTTGCATTTAACTTGTTGGTATCTTTCCTAATAAGTTTGTCTGGTTATATTTAAGTGGTAGTATGCAGGAGTGAAGTTAGTGATTAAAATATCGGTATGTTACATAAAATTAGTTTGTTTCAAGGCAGTATAGCAGTTGTTAAAACTCTGATAACAATCAGTACATAGATTGCTTGTTCTCCTGTCTCTTAAGGTTTTAGTCCCAACCAAACAATTACCTATTTAAGTGGTGGCTGGTCTTCTTTGTACATGTTGTTAAAACTTCAGAATACCATTTTAAGTCTGAAAGCATGAACAAGCTTAGCACCATGTCGAATAAAATGAACCACCTCTTCTTGTTGGGACAGTAGCAGAGATGTCAGAGTGAAGGTGGTAGAACAGTGTCTTTAAGCATGTGGTGCTAAGGAAGGCATTCAGTGAAGGAAGATGAGGCATTTTCCTGAAGACTATTGTTTATAAAATAGTGCTGTCAGTCAGTGAGGTGGCTTAACCATAGAGAGGACCGAATCCTGCAAGTTGTCCTCCGTACTTGTGTGTTCGGACACAGGCACACCTCCAACACAAAGTAAGCTAAAATTTTAAATATTACCGGTAAACTTAGCGTCTTAAATCCCAACAAGGTATAAATTTGGACTGCTGATAGGTTTTTGTTTTTCCTCCAGGATTTTGCTAATATTATGAAAATGTTGAGAAGCTTAATTCAAGATGGCTACACAGCCTTGTTAGAACAGCGTTGCCGAAGTGCAGCCCAGGCTTTTACGGAGTTGCTAAATGGTTTAGATCCTCAAAAAATAAAGGTGAGATTGGTGTATTATAACTTCGTTATCAATGATTATCGCCTCAGGTGAATTTAGAAGAGAATTAGACTTTAATGGGTAACAGAACTTACGCTTCCAGACGTGGGAAGCAAGTGTTAGTGTTTCCAATCAGACTTTCACAGTCAGTATGTAATCTGTACTCCTTGACCATTGCTGAGGTCTATTGGAACCTCCTGGCCTTTTCTTTTAAAAGGACTAAGTCAAGGATTTGGACTCCTTTCACTTCCATCCTTTTGTCCAGCAAGAAAGTAGCTTAAGCAAGGTTCTAAGAGCAGATGTCTTGGTACATCACCAGTTCCCCACTTGAATGCCAGAGAATGCAACAGAATTTGATTTTAATTAAAAACTCTTCTGATCTGTTACAAACTATGCCTCACTGTACTGAGACCTGATTCTGTGTTGTAAGTACCTATAACCGCTTATTGCACAGAATGTATTTCTAATCCTTTGTTAGTTAACTTAGTCATCAGCTATTGAGATGTTAATACGCTGTTTTTCAGTTCTCACCTAAATGATTATTCTAATACAGATTGACCAGTGTTGTGTTCAGATTTTTAACTAACGTATCTTTATCAACAGCAATTGAACCTCGCCATGATTAACTATGTACTAGTGGTTTATGGACTTGCTATTTCTCTGCTTGGGATAGGACAACCTGAGGTAAGAGGTACAACCAAGACAGATAACATGACGTTGATTATGGAAGATACTTAAAAATTGGGCTCCTGTTTTGGCTCATTTCTTCCTTGAGATAGTGAATCTTAACTTGGAGTGAGGGAGGCAGGCTGGACAATCTTGCAATGTTTCCGAGTTTGGCCTCAGACTTGTGACCTCCTTCTACCTTCTGAATACTGGGATATTTGTGGCTTGTTTGTTTTGCTCTGTTTTTAAAGAAAATTCTAGTAGAGAATGGTGGTTTATGCCTATAATCACATACTCGGGAGATGAAGCAGCAGTCTGAGATCTTACGAACATAGGAAGATGTATTCTTTACAAAAGACAAAAATTGTTTGTTAGGAGAAAGAGGCCATGCTTGGCCGTTGGTAAGAGTCTACTTTTTGTTTATATGAAAAGTAGAAAATTTAGCATATCATAGTAACGTAATGTCATAGGAACATAATGTCATAGCAACATAATGTCATAGCAACATAATGTTATAGCAACATAATGTCAAAGGGAAAAGGCAAGTTGGAGAAAATTGTGAGTACACCATTATCTGTACACAATAGTACTGTGTATTATTTACTAATACCTAGCAGTTTACAGTAGTAAAAACAGCAGGGACCATTTGTATATCAGACCTAGTAACCATTTTATTTATTGGTGGAAGGTGGAATGGGCTTGGGAGGTAGAAAGGAGATGTCAGTGTTGTGACATTGTGTTCTATTAGAAAATCCAAAGTAAGCATGATGTTAATAGCTCTTAGATCGGAGTGGTGAGGACTTCTGTACTGGATTATTTCTTGAGTATGGGCTTCCCATAACTGCATGTGATCTGCTGTGACTTCTTTGCCTTCCATTACTCATTCCTTCTGAGCATTCCTAGGATGCTTAAAGGCATCAGTTGGTTTTACAAGTTTATTCTCCATGGTCTGTAGTTTTCTATAAATGCTGAGATGCTTGCAGATAAGTCCAGCTTTTTGACATTGCAGCATGAGGCTGTCATCTCCACAGCTCACAGTTGAGTTAAAACAAACAAAAAACACAACTGGGCATGATGTCACACCTTTGATCCCAGCACTCCAAGGCAGTGGCAGGTGGAGGTCAGCCTGGTTTGCACAGAGTTCCAGACCATCTGGTTCTACAAGGGAGACCTTGTCTCAAAAAAAAGAAAGGATACATAAATAAACAAAACCACACATAATAAGACTCCTAATGTTTTAGCAGAGTTTGTAATTTTGTGTGTGGCCATGTTTATAACTGTTGTCTACATGAGCCGCAGGTAGATGTGCTAACCTGGGTTCTAAACTTCCCTAGTTAAATGCAAATTTTAATTACCACCTAATTCAAATAAATGTGTGTCACTCACTTGTAACAGTTGTTGGTACCCTGAGACTGGAGAGATGGCTCAGCCATTTATAAGCACTAGCTACTCTTGCAGAGGACCGTGGTTCGGTTCCCAGCACCCACATGATGGCTAACAACTGTCCCTAACTCCAGTTCCAGGGGAATCAGATGCCCTCTTCTGACCACTGTGGGCATTGACTACACAGGTACACCACCTACATGGAGGCAATACACTCATACACATTAAAAAATAATAATAATAAGTTAAAATTAAAATTAAAAAAAGAGTTCCTGGCACCTGAGGTTCGTTTTCCTTGTTCTTGATATGACAGTTGAAGTGTCTTCCGTCAGTGTCTACTTTCTAATAGATTTTTGGAGACAAGACATTCAATTTTTAATTCTTACCTTGATATGATAAAAATATGTTTGGCTTTATCAAAATTAAAGAAATAATTCATTGCATTTATGATTTAGTCTGTCAGGGGAGGGAGTGTTTCTATTTCAGCCTTCAGTTCAACCTTCCCTGACAACTCCTCCCTTCCCTCTTCAAAAGCTCAGACCTAGGGACTGGAGATATGGTGCAGCATTTAAGAGCACTGGTTTCTCTTATAGAGGACCCAGGTTCAATTCCTAGCACTTACATGGTGGCTATCTGAACACCAGTTCCAGGGAATCCGAAGCCGCCTTCTGGCCTCTATGGGCATTGTGGACATAGGTTCACTTAGCATACATGCATGCAAAACCCTTGTATACATAAAAGTAAAAAATAAATAAAAATTAAAAAGAAAAAGCTCAGGCTTTAGAATTTTTTTTAATGTAATAACCACAAGATTAGAAGAAGCATTTCATTACAGCTTTAACATATTCAGTAACAATTTCCAGAGCCAAGGATACATCTCTTTCAAAAATGGTTTTAAATTTTTAGGTTCACAGTTGAATTAATACAGTTATACAATATTGAGCTCAGTATAAACCCTGTAAGACATAAAATTGAATGAGTTTTCAACCTTTAAAGAAGATCTCCATTTCATTTTAAAATATGCTGTTTCCTACATTTCTAATGGTACTAACACTTAGATGTTTGCACATGTGCCTTTAGTCTCTATGTATCTGTTGCTAGTCACAGTCGGTTACACTCATATCCTCGGCACCTGAGTATGGATATAAAATCATCAGGTAGATTTCAATGGTAATGTTTATCACCTCTACTAATTAATATGAAGTAAATTTTTATGCTTCCTCCTCCAAAAAAAAAAAAAAAAAAGACTGATTTAAAAATAAACATTTAAAGGCCGGGTGTGGTGGTGCACGCCTTTAATCAGAGGCAGGCAGATCTCTGTGAGTTCAAGGCCAGCCTGGTGTACATAGTGAGTTCCAGGACAGTTGGAGCTACAGGGATACCCTGTCTCAAAAAGACCCTCCCCCCCAAAAAATTAAAAAGATTTTCACCAAGTAGTCCCTTTTACTTTCTTTTATAAAAATGACACATATGGGGGCTGGAGAGATGGCTCAGCAGTTAAGAGCACTGACTGCTCTTGAAGAGGACCCGGGTTTGATTCCCAGCACCCACATGGTGGCTACGAACCATCCTTAACTCCAGTTCCCAGGGAATCCAAAGCCCCTTTTGACCTCTGTGGCACTGCACGACATGGGTGCAGTCACATACATGCAGGTGATACACTCATACACATAAAATAAAAATAATAAATAAAATATTTTTTTAAAAATGACACATAAGAGCTGAGCGTGGTGGCACACACCTTTGATCCCAGCACATGGGAGGCAGAGGCAGGTGGATCTCTGAGTTCAAGGCCAGCCTGGTCTATATAGTGAGTTTAAGCTGGACCTGCTATGGGAAGACCCTGTCTCAAAAAAAAAAGAAATAAAATGACACATGATATTTTTATTAATTGAGAATTTCATACACATGCACAGTGTATTTTGATCATATTCACCCCCTACTCCCCGAACCCTCCTCCCCCAGAGTAGTCAGTTTCTTAAAGAGGCCAGCATTTCAGCAGTACAGTGCTCCTGTGGGCGCTTCTGAAATGCCTCCTTTGGCGTAGACCTCAGTGCTGCTTAGAAACTCTGTCTTCACCTTTCTTTTCAGTCAGAATGTGCTTATTATTATTTCTCTGAACTAAATGTGAACTTTGCCCCAAAATAAACTTTATCTAAAGCACAAAGGTTTTGCTTTGTTGGAAATGTTCAAAAGAATATAGTCTGAGCTCTTAATAATTTTTTCAAAAGGTAATTTTTAACACAAACATTCCTGTCTCATTCCACAAAGTAACATACAGTGTCACCAGATTGCCAGTCCTGCCAAGGGGCAGCATTTGCTACCATGTGTGTTAGGATGTTGTGTTTGTGCCCAAACCAGTGTTTTTTGTTTTTTTTTTTAATGTGTATAAATGTTTGGCCTGCATGTATGTAAGTGCATTGTATGCATGCAATGCCCATGAAAGCCAGAAGAGGGCTCAGATCCTCTTGAACTGCAGTTACAGATGGTTGTTACCTACCATGTCGGTGCTGGGAACCAAATCCTGGTACTCTTCAAGAGTAGCCAGTGCTCTTAACTGCTGAACCCCAAATTAGTTGTTTTTAAACCATGAAATCATACCTGTTTTTACTGATACCAGTTTTGGTAAACACTTGTTGGTTGATAGTCCCTTTTCAGCGGGATTGGTTTTGTTATCTCTGAATTTCCATATGAGTAGCCACATTGTTCAGAAATTTATGTAATTTACAAGAAATGAAATACTGAAGGTATAATTTTGCTACAGGAACTTTTTAAAATAATGCAAATCGTTGTTGTTTTCATTGCTTTTGAAGGAATTATCGGAAGCTGAAAACCAATTTAAGAGGATGATTGAACACTACCCCAATGAGGGACTTGATTGCTTGGCCTACTGTGGAATAGGAAAAGTGTATCTGAAGAAAAACAGGTTAGTAGAGATCATAAGTTCCAGGCTGATAACCTGCCTAAGGTCTTTGTAATAATGACTCGATTTTTGGAGGCTGCGCGTGTGTGTGTGTGTATCTGGTATGGGTATCTACACGTATAACTATATGGAGGTCAGTGATTGACTTTGGGTGTCTATTTCTTTTTACCTTAGTTTTTATTGATTTATTTTTATTTTACGTGTATGAGTGCTTTGCTTGCAAGTATGTTAAGTGTGCCACATGCATGCAATGTCCACAGAGGCCAGAAGAGGACATCTGATTCCCCTGGAACTGGAGTTACGGATGGTTGTTAGCTTAATGTGGGTACTGGGAACCTAACTTGGGTCTTCTGTAAGAACAGCCAGTGCTCTTAACTGTGAGCCATCTCTCCAGCCCCCACCTTATTTTTTAAATTAATGTGTATGCTGATAAATGTGCCATGCTGTGTGTGGAAATTAGAGGACAGATTCACGAAGTCAGTTCTCTACTTACCTTTATGTGGTTTCCACAAATTGAACTCATGCCACCAGGCTCATAAGGTGAGCACTTTTTCCTTTGAGCCTCTCTCTGGCCCCTCCGCCTTATTTTTTTAGACAGAATCTCTCACTGAACCTGTTTCTCGCTGTTTGAGCCAGATTTCACTGGACAGTGAGCCCCCAGGCTCTGCTGGTCTCTGACTTGCCCCCATAGCACTGGGATTAAACTTGGTTGCCACTCTAGGCTTTTATGTGGGTGCTGGGCACCCAAACTCAAGTCTTCATAATTACTCAGCAAATACCACTGAACCATCTGTGTAGACTGTAGTTGTTTTGCTGTCTTATGTGCACTACACTATCATAATTTACTTTGAGGAGCTATCCTTTACAAAGTATGTGTGAATTGAGGGAATATTGGACTGTGTGAAAACGAGAGATATACATATTCCATTCGTGAGCTGAGCATAAACTGTTTTCTCTGAACTGTGTGATCGTGGGTGTCCTTGCTGAGTTTAATGTGTGGCTGCTCTCTAGAAGCATCATCTCTCCATCTTGTCTTCCTGAATTCTCTGTGTGGCCTTAAGGGATATGATATGGCTTTAAAAACAAAGTCCCTGTCCCTGCTAATTGCACTGAGGCTGGCGCGATGGTGCACGCCTTTAATCCCAGCACTTGGGAGGCAGAGGCAGGCAGATCTCTGTGAATTCAAGGCCAGCCTGGTTTACATAGTGAGTTCCAGGTCAGTTGGGGCTACAGGGAGACCCTGTCTCAAAAAGACAAAAAAAAAAAAAAGTAATTATTGATAGAATATCATTCATAACATTTAATTATCTGTAAATTTTCAGCTAGTTTTTAGACATTCTTGGGATCACAGGTGGTCTTAGGGTATGCCTACAACTTCCTTACAATTAAAAAAAGATTTAAAGATTTTGTCTTATGTGTATGTGTGTTTGGCTGCATGTATGTAAGTGTGCCATGTGCATACTTGGTGCTCATGGAAGCCAGAAGAGGGCATTAGATCTCCTGGAACTGGAGTTACAAACAGTTGTTGGCCACCATGTGGGTGCTGGGAATCTAACTTAGTCCTTGAAAGAGCTCTTAATTGCTGGACCATTTCTCCAGCCCTCTTCCTTCTCTTAAACAAAATTTTTATTGCAGTGACCGTTTCCACTTAGTAACTTGTCAGATGTCCTCTTTCCAGGAAACGAAGTCTTGGTGAGCTCTGCTGTGAAATCATGCTCCATATCACATTTTAAGTACCTTCTTCCTAATTCTGCCTTTAGATTTCTAGAAGCTCTCAATCACTTTGAAAAAGCAAAAACTTTGATTTGTCGTCTGCCTGGAATTCTAACTTGGCCCACAAGTAACGTGGTTATTGAAGAGTCTCAACCTGAAAAAATAAAGGTAACTTTTTATTTCTTCAAACATTTCATGCAAGCTGTGCAAGCCCTTCTGCATGGTGACCCAGGTCCACCCACACTTCCAGAATGTATTCTCCTTTAAAGATAATGAAAATCACTGGGTATTTACTATGTACTGGTCACACACTTTCCATTTATCATTGATTTTCCTTATAGCAGTCCTGTGAGGTAGGTGCCATGCAATGGTTCCTGGTTTACAGATGAAGGAGATGAAGTTTACAGAGGTTGGATGATGAGCTCAAGGTTAAGCAGCAAGGAAGCAATAGAGCCGGAGTTTGAGTCCAGGCGTTCAGAGTGTACGTTTTTAAGTGTCACACTGTACTGGTTGTGCCTGAATGTGGGCTTGGCTTTATTTATTATAGTCACTGTACTTCTTTTTATTTGGGGGGGGGTGTCTTTTTGAGACAGGGTCTCCCTGTAGCCCCAGCTGTCCTGGAATTCACTATGTAGAACAGGCTGGCCTTGAATTCACAGAGATCTGCCTGCCTCTGCCTCCCAAGTGCTGGGACGAAAGGCGTGTGCCACCACACCTGGCTTATACTTCTTGATATAGTACTTAACTCAGAAAACAGGAATTTAGTGTCTGACCAAGGCCATAAGGATTCATTACTAAATCTGGAAAGATTAAATTACATGAGAATTTCGTAAGTTAGGTCTTTGCTTGTGGTAAATCCACCCATGCACTCAGAACTTGCTTTTGACTGAAGCATTCCAAAATCACAGGGTTAACTTTTACAACTCAATAATCAAAAGGTAATCTAATTAAAAGCAGCAAAGGATTTGAAGAGACATTTTTGCAAAGGTGGCCGGTTAGCACTGTGTTATCCGGGAAATGGAAGTAAAGACCATGGTGAGACACTGCTCTGCACCCATTTAGAATGCAGTGGGAAATAGGGAAATCAGAGCATTCATGCTTTGCTGGTTATAATGTAGACTGGCATAGTTGCCATGGTAAGAGTCGACCAGTTCCTCAAACGTTAGAGTCGCTGCTGTGTGCACAGAAAGGACAACATGTTCTCAACAGAACTTGATGTGAATATTCGTAGCAGCAACGTCTGTCATAGCCTAGAGGGGGAAACAGCTCAAGTGTCTGTTAAATGATGAATGGGTAAATAAAAAGGACTGATACACATGGCACAGCATGCATGAAACTTGAAAAGGTTATACTAAGTAAAAAGGAAACCAGACACAAAAAGCCACATGCATTCTTTTTATATGAACTCTCCAGTATGGGTGCTCTAGTTTGCTTTCAGTTGCTGTGACAAAACACTCTGACCAATACCAACTTTAGGAGGAAAGGGTTTATTTAGCTCACATCTCCCAGGTCACAGTTCATCAGGGAGCCCAAGGTAGAAACTCAGGGCAGGCACCTGGAAGCAGGAGCTGGAGCACAGGCCATGGAGGAATGCTGCTTACTGGCTTGCTCGCCTGGCCCCTGCTCAGCCTGCTTTCTTATGCAACACAGGCCCACCTGCCCAGGGGTGGCACCACCCGTAATGGGCTGGGCCCTCCCACATCACTCAACAATCAAGAAAATGTCCCACAGACATGGTCACCGGTCAGTCCAATGGAGGTGATTCCCCAACTGAGGCTCCGTTGATCCAGGTGTATCAAGTTGACACTAAAACTATCCAGCACAAAAGGCAATCTCTAGGTATAGGAAATGGATGACAAAGGGCTAGGCAATTGGTGGAAAATGATGGGACTGATAATTGATAATGGAGTCTCTTCTTGGGCAATGAAAATGTTCTAAATTTAGATTGTGGTAATGGGTCTATAAAAATTTGAGTATATTAAAAAACTACTTACTAAACTGTACTCCTGGGTGAACTGTTAGGTTAAGTGTGTCTCAGCAGAGCTCTCCCAGATCATAGCCAGAGATGGCTAGATTTGCCTCCTCACACAATTGGAGCATTGACATGAGTGCAGTTAACAGGAAGCCGGCTACCCCAGCACGGCGTGAATCCCTTGGGACTTCAGTAGCAGTGCAATAATTCCTGAGGATATGAATAGGCACAAGTACAGGGGCTGGAGGAAGTATGTGAGCAGGAGTGTTAGGGGCCTAGACCAAGTGGTGTTCAGAAAATGAGCGTTTTCTAGTTTCTAACTCAGGGTTGTCCTAAGGATTGCTTTTCCTCCTTTGAGCCCCTCCTGAATCTTTCAGGAGACTTCTAAGAGCTGTAAATTATAAAATGAGGTTTGATGATTATAATAGGACAAGACTTTGATGAAGACTAAAATTCTAAAACTTAAATTTTTTAAACCAAATCTGTATTGACCTTTTTGAAGGAAAGCCTTTTAAAAGTTGACTGGAGTTTGCTCTTAGCTAAAAAAGATTCGGTTATTCCTCTACCGACGGCAAGAGGTTATTGAAATCAGAAGCATTTTGACATGTCAGTGTTGTAGACGCATTTACTGTTTTGCCTGTCCGGTGCAGACGCTCTTAGAGAAGTTCGTTGAGGAGTGCAGGTTCCCTCCGGTGCCAGATGCCGTTTGCTGCTACCCGAAGTGCCGGGGCTATTCCAAAATCCAGATTTACCTCTCCGATCCAGACTTCAAGGTAAACAGTGGATTCATTTGCAAAAATGTGCTTCGAGATTAATTCAGAATCGGTTCTCTGAGTGGAGGCGCCCAGGTTCTCTGACCGGATGGCATTTTATTTCCCTTCACCTTCCCTCCCTAGGCTTTTTAGATCTTCATTGTGTCATATGAAAACTCAGCCATCAGAATACATGTTAGGAGTTGGGTTGGTGACCCGAGAAAACGGCCAACAAATTCCATGTTGTCCTCTAACCTCCAGAACCTAGGGGAGAAATGACCATTGCCATCTGAATTAGCCTCTGAATCTGGCACTTAATTGAATGATTAAGTTACTGGTTTATTTCAGAAGGTAGTAGCCACTCACTGACAGCTGTCTCTGGGTAGAGCAGATTAAATTATGTTTATACAACACGTGATACATTGTTAAGGATAACGCACTGCCCTCCTCAAATTCTCTAACCTCCACAGCTAGGCATTTTGGAGAACAAAAGTCTATCACTCCACATGGAGATGGCATTATGCCTACTTACATCTGCCAGGACATGCAGTGCCAGAGCGCACTGTCATAACATTGTGTGCCATGAGTAAGGAGGAAGTGTGTTAGCATATGTATCTTTAAATTGTGCTACTTTTTTTTTTTTGATCCCCAGGGTTTTATACGAATCAGCTGTTGCCAATATTGTAAGATAGAATTTCATATGAACTGCTGGAAAAAATTAAAAACAACAACTTTTAATGATAAAATTGACAAGGTAAGGCACAATAAGATTGGATTTTTTTTACTATGGTTGGATATTGTGTTTTTTCCCTCTGAAATTTTTCAGTAAGTCTTTAGCAAATACATATTCCTTCCTGAGCATCGTAGACATTAATTAGAAGGTTTTAGCTTTCAGCACTGATAAGGTAGGAAAAGTTTTTAAGATTTTTCATAGCTCTAAAGGCAGTAAATTGCTTAACTAACTTCTGTATTTTGATCATTATGATCAAATTAAATTTTTAATGACTGATTTTAAAATACATATCTTAAATTATACACTGTATTAGTCCTTAGGAGAATGTCCAGTTAAACACTTGAACATTTTGATGAAGAGGTAGTCTCAAAGTTTATTTTCTACCAAATTTGAACTAAGAAATCAACCTAAATTTTATATTGGTCATGTCTTGTGGAGGGAATTTTCTTATTATCAAGACTACTTTGAAAGAAGGCAGTTTACAATTTAATTTGTGTTCATAAACTTTTTTTCTGGTCTGTATAACCTGTGGACTTAACAAAAGGAAACCTTTGAGAGGAAAAATAAGGAGGCTGTGTTATTCTCTAGGCAGTGGGAATTTTCATGTTTCGTAGAAGCAGATTTTCCTGTAGTTGGAGATGGAGTGCTGTGACTCAGACTTGGAGAAGTGGGGTCACTTCTGCTGTGTGTGTCTTACTGAGTTCTCTAGCTGTCCCTTCTCCTTTAAACATCCCATGTTTCTAAATGCCCTAAGTTCATCAGCTCCCGATGAGTTGTGACAAAGTAACATACGACCAACGTCTCTGTCTTGTATGAGACATATGTCCCTTGGTCCCTTGGTTTCGTTCTTGTCCTGAAGTTTTCAGTTGCTGGCTGGGGTTGAGCTGTGGCCGCTCTGCTCTATGTGGCCGTGTTCTTTGTGGGTTTGTGTGTGGGTCCATGTTGAAGAGTGACTTTCCTGGAACATGTTCCTGTGTCAGGGAAAAGGAACAGTGGCCACTCAATGAAGTGTAAGCTGTCGCCTTGATATGGTACATGTCATGGCAGCTCACCTTGCGTTTACCAAAGTCAGTGACATACTGAGAAGTATACTCCTAGCAGGGGCTTTGAGGGTTTCTCTGAAGGAGGTTCTTCACTGTGCCTTGATGGTTCTTTGTGGTTATAATGATACAGATGTTTAGGTTTATCCATTCTAGACGTAACTTCCTTCTTTTAAATCAAAAAGGATTTTCTACAAGGAGTTTGCCTTACCCCTGACTGTGAAGGAACCATTTCTAAGATTATCATCTATAGCAGTGGTGGTCAAGTTAAATGTGAAGTAAGTATCTAATGAAGGAGAAATTTCAATTAAACTAATAATAACACTTGCAAAACAGTTTAAATTTGTGGAGGGTGTGTCATTTGGATCTTTGCATTGCTGTGAAACATTCTCACATTATTTAATTTTCTAAGAGGAGAAAGGTTATTTACATTTAGTTTTACTGTTTATACTGTATTTTGCTTTCTTTTTTAACTTTTAAAAAAAATTTTATTATTTTTATTTTATATGTACACGTGTATTGCCTGCATGTAGGTAAGTGCACCCATATGTCATGCAGTGCCCGAGTAGGTCAGAAGAGGGTGTCACATCCCCTGGGGCTGGAGTTACAGACAGTTGTTATCTGCCATATGGGTGCTGGGATTCGAACCCACGTCTTCTGCAAGAACAACCAGTGTTCTTAACCACTGAGCCATCTCTCCAGCCCCTTTCTTGCTTCTTTAAGCCTCTTCAGACTTTTTGGTGTTGGTGGGGTGGAAGATTTTAGGGAGCAGGAAAAGTATATTAAGAGATTATTCTGAACTTTACCACCTGGGGGTGACAGTGGGTAGCTGTGATAACATTTATAGTTTATGGGATCTTCTGTTGACTTGTAATTTTAAAAACTTTTCCCTCAAGTACGTCTGCTCATTTGTTCTTCTTAGTAAATTATTTTTTGAAAACTTCTGGACTTCAGTCTGGGCCAGAGCCACCTCACTGTCCGCTAGTGAATGTGCGCTGACTGTGTGCACCTCTAGAATACTGTTTCTTGTGGTTTTGTGCTTTGTGTCAGGGGAGTATGAGAAAAATTTTGGATGTCTTTGTTTTATTTAAAGTTTGAGCACAAGGTCATAAAAGAAAAGATCCCTCCAAGACCTATTCTGAAGCAGAAATGTTCAAGGTAAGACTTCAATAATCAAACAGTAGTTTTATGATGTCTCTTAGAATATAATTTTATTAAATCAGATTTCTAAGTTAGTCTGCTTTTAAAATTGTGTAGACAGATATCCAAATGAGTACTTTAAAATGATTTTATACATATTTGAAACTTTAAAAGAACTAGCCTATAAGAATAGTTATACAAAAAAATCATTAGTTATTTTAACTTATATGCAAAATTCTGACATTTCATGTTGTGAGATTACATGTTGGATTGACAGATTTGAAACCTAGGTAAGAATGCTTTTTTTAGCTCTCAGTTGTCGAAACTTTAATGCCAAAGCATTTTTACTGCTATCTCTCTTGAGCCAACATTTGAACCGATGACTCTTTCTTACCTTGAGATACTGTCCAAACTGTTTACCTTGCTGTATCTTTCTGTTCACACCAAATAATTCGTCTTTTTCTTTTCTTTCTGGTCCTGCTTCTTGTTTTTCATTCTGAAGAGTGATTCTTTTCTTTTTTTATTTGTATCATCTGTGACCAAGCAAAAGCCAAAGAAAAGGTGAACAGAATTATTTGTTGGGAAAAGCTCATCGTGACCACCTCAGCCAAATTCTCACACAGATCATTACTGGTTTATAAGACTGTGAGCTCCTTTGTTGAAAGGAGAGCTTACACATGTGGTCTTACACATTGATCTTACACACATGGTCTTACACACATGGTCTTACACACATGGTCTTATACATATGGTCTTATACACGGTCTTACGCACATGGATCTTACACACATGGATCTTACGGACATGGTCTTACGCACATTGATCTTGTGCACATGGTCTTACGCACGTGGTCTTACACACATTGATCTTACACACATGATCTAACACACATGGTCTTCCGCACATGATCTTATGCACATGGTCTTACACACATTGATCTTATGCACATGGTCTTACACACATGGATCTTACATGCATTGATCTTATGCACATGGTCTTAAACACATTGATCTTACACACATGGTCTAATGCACATGGTCTTACGCATATGGTCTTACACACATAGTCTTATGCACATGGTCTTACATTGATCTTACATACATGGTCTTACGCATGTGGTCTTACACATATGTTCTTATACATATGGTCTTACGCACATGGTGTTACACACATTGATCTTACACATGTGGTCTTACACACATAGTCTTACGCACATGGTCTTACGCACATGGTCTTATGCACATTGATCTTACGCACATAGTCTTACGCGCATTAATCTTACGCACATGATCTAACACACATGGTCTTACGCACATGATCTTACACACATTGATCTTATGTACATGGTCTTACACACATTGATCTTACACATGTGGTCTTACACACATAGTCTTATGCACATGGTCTTACACATGTGGTCTTATGCACATGGTCTTACACATGTGGTCTTATACATGTGATCTTATGCACATGGTTTTACACACGTGGTCTTACACACATTGATCTTACACACGTGGTCTTATGCACATGGTCTTACACATAGTCTTATACATATGGTCTTATGCACATGGTCTTACACACATTGATCTTACACACATAGTCTTGTGCACATGGTCTTACACATAGTCTTATACATATGGTCTTACACACATTGATCTTATGTACATGGTCTTACACACATTGATCTTACACACATGGTCTTACACACGTGGTCTTATGCACATGGTCTTACACATGCGGTCTTATACATGTGATCTTATGCACATGGTTTTACGCACATGGTCTTACACACGTGGTCTTATACATGTGATCTTATGCACATGGTTTTACGCACATGGTCTTACGGATGTGGTCTTACGCATGTGGCCTTACACTGATTTTACACACGTGGTCTTACATGGTCTTACACACGGTCTTGTGGAGTTTAATGCGTTGCATCCTTAGAAATCATTGAATCACTGATGCAGATCTTCTTTCATGAAATATATACCCTTGTTTTGACTGAACTAGAAGTATAGATTAACCAGGTCATATGTTGAACGGAAGATGCAGGTCAGTTTCTAATTAAAAAGGAAAGTGTCTAACTTATTGTCTTGGGAATGGTTTCTACAGTAGACAAAGAAAAGTAGTTTGTTGAGTTATAAGGAGGTAAACTCATGAATTGTAAATATGTATCAGCCTAGAGAAGCTGAGACTGAAAGAAGACAAAAAATTGAAGAGAAAGATCCAAAAGCAAGAGGCAAAGAAGCTGGCACAAGAGAGAATGGAAGAGGACTTAAGGGAAAGTAACCCGCCCAGAAACGAGGAGCACAAAGGTACGCAGCAGTGCGCGGCGCAGGCGGGCTGAGAGGCAGTGCCGGTCCTCCCTCGGGGGCCTCCGGCTGGCTGCTGCTGGGTTGGAGTGTAGACCTTAGTAGTTTATTTAGTTTTAGTTGCTTTATGTGTGTAGTGTTTTGCCTACATGTATGTAAGTGCACCTGTGTGTGCGGTGGCCATAGAAGTCATAAGAGGGCATCAGATCCCCTGGAACTGGAGTTACAGTTTGTTAGCTGCCATGTGGGTGCTGGGAACCAAACCTGTGTCCTCTGCAAGAGCTGCCAGTGCTCTGAACTGCTGAGCATCTCTCCAGTCCCTTAGTGTTGGTATTTTCATAGTGTCACTGTAATGTAGATTTCAGTTAGTATCTTAATCCTTCTGTTAGCCAGGCATAGTGGGTCACACCCAGCATTTGAGTAGCTGAGGCAGGAGGATTACCATTACTTTAAAGCCTGCAAAAGATGCCTAAGATTCTGACTCCCCCTGAGAATCTCAAGCTTGAAGCCAAATAGCTTCAAAGGGCATGTGGACCTTAGAGAATGTTATATCTATGATTTTGTAAATTCCTACAAACACCGACCACTTAAAAAAAATTCCAAATACTGCCTTCTGTTCTGAGACCATCAGTGTGTGGCGTGAAGGGCGCTTATTGTGAAAGCAGCCCCGGGGATTCACATTGCCCTGCAGGGTTCTCTACATGGAAGTCTGCCGCTGCTCTACAGCAAAGCTGGGCACAGTGTCTGACTCATTTCACATTGCAGCATTGTAGGTTGTGCTGTATGGGTTTAAATTCCAACATTTTGAACTAGGTTAGATATTAGTAGTCTGAAATAATGTGAAGTTCTGACAGACTTGGTTCATAAGAAGTCCATAGACCAGAGGCAGGTGGATCTCTGTGAGTTCCAGGACAGCTGGAGCTACAGGGAGACCCTGTCTCAAAAAAAAGATAGAAAGAAAAAAAATGTCCATAGACCTTGGCAGCACTGCACCTGGTTTGTGCTCCTGTTCCCTTTGTCACCTGATGAACATGGAATGTCTGGTGGATGGTTCTGCTGTCCTGGGTACTCAGTAGCTGTCATCTTTATTTTCAGTTTTGAGTTGAAGTAAGCTTTCTCTGTTTCCTATTCTTGCGTCCCCAAAGGAAACATTTCCATCTGCTGCAGTATTTTCCATCTACCTAGTGTTCCAGAAATGTCCATCAAAATGAGCTCTCCAACTGAGAATTTTTTTTTTTTTCTTTTTTGGTCTTTTTGAGACAGGGTCTCCCTGTAGCCCCAGCTGTCCTGGAACTTCCTATGTAGACCAGGCTGGCCTTGAACTCAAAGAGATCTGCCTGCCTCTGCCTCCTGAGTGCTGGGATTAAAGCATGTGCCACGACGCCCGGCTGAAAATGTTCTTTTTTAATAAATGTATTAACTTTGCATGCTTGAAGACGAAGCACATTGAATCTAAAGTTTAGTTAGTTAATGAGGCTGGGTTAGAATTGTTGAGGGAAGAACCTTATTTTAGAGGAAATAGGATTTTGAAATATTTTATTTAGTAATTTTATTTTATGTGTATGAGTCTATTGTCTGCACATATGTAAGTGCACCCGTGCCAAGCAGTGCCTGTGGAGGTCAGAAGAGGGCATCGGATCTCCTGGAACTGGAGTTAAGGATGCTTGTTAGCTGCCACGTCAGTGCTGGGAACCAAACCTGGATTCTCTGCAAGAGTAGCCAGTGCTCCAGCCCCAGGAAATAAGATTATAAGTGCTCTTCCATGAATGGTGTGAAAAGAAAGGCATAGTGTGGGAGGGGAATTGAATGCAGCACAGCACCAGCCTGGGCCCAGCCTCGTCTAGCACCAGCCTGGGCCCAGCCTCGTCTAGCACCAGCCTGGGCCCAGCCTCGTCTAGCACCAGCCTGGGCCCAGCCTCGTCTTTTGTTATTGTTGTTGGTTTTTATTTTTGGGTTTTTGGGGGGTTTTTTTGTCTTTTTGAGACAAGGTCTCCATGTAACCCCAGTTTACTTTTATCGTATAGACCAGACTGGCCTTGAACCCCCAGAGATGCACCTGCCTCGCCTCCCACATGCTGGGATTAAGGGAGTGTGCCACCATGCCTAGCCTTTATATTTCAAGTGTAAGTTTCTGGAGTTGCTTCTGTAAATAAAAACAAACAGAATCAAGCAAGCTTTATGTTACTATGCAATGCCACATTATTTCCTTCTGAGTTTGTATCATTGTAAATTAATTTCATTTATCTCATTAACCTTTATTATTTTCCTTAGAAACTGTAGACAGTGCTCAGAGTTGTGAGTTTCTTGATGACAGAATCCTGCAGTGCATAAAGCAGTGTGCTGACAAGATTAAATCCGGTGTATTGAGCACTGCTACGCTTCTCAAAGAATTGCTTTCTTGGAAAGTTTTGAGCACGGAAGACTACACCACCTGTTTCTCTAGTAAAAACTTCCTCAGCGAGGCCGTGGACTATGTGATTCGTCATTTGATTCAGGAGAAAAGCAGAGTAAAGACAAGGATATTTCTGCATGTTTTGAGTGAACTGAAAGAGGTGGAGCCCAAATTTGCTGCTTGGATCCAGAAGCTTAATAGCTTTGGTACGTACCTTTAAATTCTAGAGTCCTGGCTTCCAGAAGAGAGGATAAGCATGGGCCTCTGAACCCTTACCACTTTCTTGTCTGCTTATTGATGATGTTTTAAATGTACCAGTAAATATTTGTGTAGTTTAAAATACCATCTCTCCCCATATACACAAGTATTTTTTAGGTTATTTTATGGATAGGTTACAATGTGCTTTTTCAAAAGAAGTAAACAAAAGCCAGTAAGGAAATTTAGACTTACCTTATGCTAAACTGTTTGTGAATATGCAAACTAAATCAGTACTGGTGGACTGTGTAAACCTGCCGTGCTATGGAGCCTGCTGCTGTTGTGCGGTTCATCCTCTGTGTGCAGGAAGAAAACACAATCTAAAACTCGATCCCATAGGAAATTTCAAAGCACCAATAGGCTAATGACTGCAGGTAACTGGAAGCAAAAGTGTACCCAAGGACTGAGAGAAGTGTTCTGTGTTTGGGCTCGGCTGTCAAAAATCATGCAGCTCTTTTAACTCTGTTCTGGGTTTTCTGATTTGATTGGGAGAGGGAAACGTCAATGACGCTTCTCCTCACCTGCCTGCAGCCTCTTTGCCAAAGGACTGTAGGTGCAGTGGCTGTTGAGCACTGGATAGGGTGCTCTTGGTACCTATGAGGGCTCTGTGCGACTAGGATAGCAGCTAGCCTGGCACAGTATCTACTCAGTCAGCAGCTGTGGATGAAATACTGAAGGAACCCTCAGGAAAGAGAACAGTATCTCTCAGGACAGGAAGAGGCAGAATCTGGCCAGCATCTGGCAGATATCCCATGAAGTAAGATAGCAGCAGACTTGGCGTAGTCCAAGAGCTAAGCACCTTCTTTTGCATAGCTCTCCATTGGTGGTTTTCTTTGTGGGGGGGTCCCAGAAAATTGGTCTTAAGTACCTAGATTGTCACTAAGTGACACTTAGTGTCTAACAGATAAATGAACCATAAAGTTACCGCTTACTTTATTTGCTGTAGAGGATAGACTCTGAGCTGCAAGAGTAAGCTGGTCTCGGTTATGCTGCAGGGCTAGAGGGCCGGCCAGTAGTCATCCTACTAGATGTTTTATTTGACTCTTGCATTTGGTCACTGGTAGGGAAACATAAGTCTTTTTAACGTAATCTGTGTTTATTCTGAAGATGAGTAAGTATGGATGCCTACTTTCTAAATTATGATTCTGCTTAAAGTTGTAAAATAAATACAAGCATGTTAGTTAGTAAAGCTTTTATTCTATTCTATTTATTTATTTATTTATTTATTTATTTATTTATTTATTTATTTA